CTAGCTTGAAGCTAAAGTTTTGAGATGCTAGCTCAAAGCTAAAGAGTCAAAAGGCTGTAGTATCAAGAGGCTAGCTTGAAGCTAAAGTTTTAAGAAGCTAGCTRGAAGCTAAAGTATCAAGARGCTTGCTTGAAATTAGTTTCGAGAGGCTGTATTATCAAGAAGCTAGCTTGAATTGAAAGTGTTGAGGCTGTAGTAGTAAAATGTTAGCAAGAAGGTAAAGCCTAGATAATTTTTTTATGTATTTAAGCTGACCTGATAATTTAACTTTTAGTGTTCAAAGTTCTGTGAGAAAAGTGATGACAGCTGTTTGTTTATAAAATATATTTAGATTATCCTAACTGCAGATACTTACCTAAAATTAAAAAAAAACATTTTGTTGTCTCCAAATTCCTGCAGTTATTCTGTAACAAACTCATGTTGTTTTCTCCTCTTCAGGCTTTTTTAGAGATGAATTCGGAGGAAGCAGCTCAAAACATGGTGGGTTATTACTCCACAGTGATGCCTGTTATCAGACACCATCCTGTCTACGTTCAGTTCTCCAACCACAAAGAGTTAAAAACTGACAACTCCCCCAACCAGGAGGTAAACAAACACACTCATACTCACCTGTTAGCATCTGTTAGCTCCTGCTAACCCTCTGCTCTGTCTCAGAGGGCCCAGGCAGCCCTCCGGGCCCTAAGCTCCTCCCACTTGGACACGCCCATGACGGCTCCGAGCTCGGTGCTGAGGGTGGTGGTGGAGAACCTGCTCTACCCRGTCACCTTGGACGCTCTCTGTCAGGTAACTGTCAACGATTGAGGACACATTCTGTCAGACTGAAGACATTCAGACGACACTTGGCTCCTGTTTCCTCCTCAGATCTTCTCAAAGTTCGGCACCGTGCTGAGGATCATCATCTTCACCAAGAACAACCAGTTCCAGGCGCTGCTGCAGTATTCAGACGGAGCGGCGGCTCAGGGAGCCAAACTGGTGAGCTGCGGCCAACCTCCGGTGTTTTCCCGGAGCCAACGGGTTTCTGACGTCCGTGCCGTTGTCTTCCAGTCTCTAGATGGACAGAACATCTACAACGGCTGCTGCACCCTGAGGATCAGCTTCTCCAAGCTCACCAGCCTCAACGTCAAATACAACAACGAGAAGAGCCGAGACTTCACCAGACCGGACCTGCCCTCCGGAGAGAGCCAGCCCCCCATGGACCACCCGGCCATGGCTACAGCCTTCGGTAAGGACTTCAGTGTCCTCCACAGCACAGACGCTATGATCTAAAGCTCAAATTCACAAATAAAACCAAACTACAGCAGCCGAAAGTTTAAACAAAAACAGCCGAAAAAAACAAAGCATTTATTTTCTGTGAAAGTACAGTGGGTGTGAATGCTGAGCGCTAAAATGACAGCTAAAATCTGGTAAAGAAGCTGAAATAAGTTGGTGAAGCTAAGGCGCAAAACACTTACTGAAAACCGAAAATAGCAAAGCTCAAGTTATCAGCTAAAAATAAAAGAACCCTAGCTAAAGGCTAAATGTAACATAACACTTGCAAAACTTAAAAAAGCAAAAGGTTAGCTTAAAGAAACAAAATATTGACTAAAATGTAACTTTAGCAAATGGAAGTAGCAAAACAGTAGCTTAAATATAAAATGCTTGCTGAAAGCTTCCTGAGGATTGTCAAAAGTTAGCTAAAAGCTAAAATTAGAAAGAGTGTCAAGAGTTTAGCTAGGAGTTAAAATATTAAGATCTTGAAATTAAAGTACCAAGAGCCCACCTAAAAGTACTAAGAGCCCAGCTAAAAGTACCCAGAGCCCAGCTCAAAGTACTAAGAGCCCAGCTAAAAGTATCATGAGTTTAGCTAAAAGTACCAAGAGGCCAGCTAAAAGTACTAAGAGCCCAGCTAAAAGTACCCAGAGCCCAGCTCAAAGTACTAAGAGCCCAGCTCAAAGTATCATGAGTTTAGCTAAAAGTACCAAGAGCCCAGGTAAAAGTATCATGAGTTTAGCTAAAAGTACCAAGAGCCCAGGTAAAAGTACTAAGAGCCCAGCTAAAATTATCATGAGTTTAGCTAAAAGTACTAAGAGCCCAGCTGAAAGTATCATGAGTTTAGCTAAAAGTACCAAGAGTCCAGCTAAAAGTATCATGGATTTAGCTAAAATTATCATGAGTTTAGCTAAAAGTACTAAGAGCCCAGCTAAAAGTATCATGGATTTAGCTAAAAGTACCAAGAGCCCAGGTAAAAGTACTAAGAGCCCAGCTAAAAGTATCATGGATTTAGCTAAAAGTACCAAGAGCCCAGGTAAAAGTACTAATAGCCCAGCTGAAAGTATCATGAGTTTAGCTAAAAGCATCATGAAGCTAGTTGGAAGCATAAGTATGAAGAAGCAAGCTGCCTAAACAAAATCTGTATGGAAGCTAAAGGTAGCAGAACTGCACCTAAAAGCTAAAGTAGAAGAATAAGACAAAAACAGAGGCAGCAGCTGAAGCAGATTATTAAAGAGAAGAATATTAAAGACTGAGATCTCAATGCATTTATATCAATAAAAGATTTGTAAATAAATTTAAATATCTTGAAACTTTAAAAATCTTCAGAAATCATTACACCGTTGTCCTGAACAAACTAAATATTTTGATATGAAGAGCGAAAAAAACGCAAAGTCTGCAGAAGTAGTTAAAGTAAAAACAGGAAAACTTCAGTTAAATGCTGAGTCAGCATTTACACAAACAGYAACAGGAGGTGAAGACTGTTTATTAATCGTCCTTTTATTTTCCTGATTTATTTTAATAATCTGAATGATTATTTAAAAATTAAAATGTTTAATAGATTATTGATGGAACTCAGGTGTTGTTCTTCTCAGCAGCTCCAGGTATCATCTCAGCTGCACCTTACGCCGGAGCAACTCATGCCTTCCCACCTGCTTTCACCCTTCAGCCAGCAGGTGAGTTTCACCTGGTCAGGTGTCATGTGACCGACCAGAGGAAGGACAGCCAATCAGAGAAGCAGAAGGCCTGTTATGATAAAGCTGTATCTCTGTGATCCTGTTTTCCGTTCAGTCTTCGGTGTGTTTTTTTACTCGTCTCACCTCTCTCAGTGTCCTCCCACTACCCAGGACTGACGGTCCCCGCTCTGCCGGGAGCCCTGGCCTCTCTGACCCTCCCTGCAGCTGCCAGGTTGGGGTTTCCCGCCATCCCTGCTGGACACTCAGTCCTGCTGGTCAGCAACCTGAACCCCGAGGTGAGGAATTATCCTTCAGTCTGATCAAACCTTCTCTGATGGTTAAATCAACATGGTTTCACCTACTTTTATTTAAAATAAAACTATGCGCTGGGCAGGAATTTTGTGATAAAAGCTGTTCAGATTTGATGCTACATGCTAATATGAGTCGCTCACAACGTTGATTTAGTTTGATTCTGTTTTCTCAACTAAAATCTTTTGTGTTGCTAAGCTGATGTACATGTGAGGATCTTTAACCAATGCTGATGATACTGTCTTAGTATTATTTATTTCCAACAATTAAAGCAGCAGGTACAGCTAATTGTATTGAGACACACTTGGACTGTGTACGCTCCTGCAGTGGTTAGTTCCTCTGTGACTGGTCCCTCAGCGATTGGTTGCTTGGCGTTTGGTCCTTAGGCCAAATGGTCTCTCAATGGTTATTGGTCCCTCTGGCAACTGGTCGCTTTAGTGATTAGTCTTATTGGTGATTGGTCCCTTTAGGGATTAGTCTTATTGGTGATTGGTCCCTCTGGCGACTGGTCCCCATTGGCTATTGACCCTCTGCGACTGGTCCCATTGGTGATTGGTCCATTACCGATTGGTCCACCTGGCAACTTGTCCCTTGGCAATTTGCCCACATTGGCGACTGGTCCCTATTGGCAATTTTCCCATTGGCAATTGATCCCTCTGGTGACTGGTCCTATTGGCAATTTTCCCATTGGCAATTGATCCCTCTGGCGACTGGTCCCATTGGCGAATGGTCTTATTGGTGATTGGTTCATTGGCAATTGGTCCCATTAGCGACTGGTCCCGTTAATTGGTCCCTCTGGCAACTTGTCCCTTGGCAGTTGGTCCCCAGTGGCTACTGGTCCCTTGGCAATTGGTCCCATTGGTGATTGGTCCCCATTGGCAATTAGTCCCCATTGGCAGTTGTCAGGACTTAGTGGCAGGATGGACCCAAATGCAGGCAGGCAGGCAGACTTAAAAATTTAACAAAACTTTTATTAAATTAAAGGCCAGCGTGGTGGCAAAAACAGAAGACTTACAAGTGAGCAGGAACAAGGAAGCCAGGGCAGAACATGAACCAAACAGAAACAAACAATGAACGGACGAAGGTGGAGAGCATGAGAACCAGTATAAGTAGTCAGAGGCTAAGTGGAGAGTGGAGACAGCTGTGATGATTAGGAGTGAAGACAGGTGAGCAGAATGATCTAGAAGGGCTGAATAATCTGAGGATTGAGATGACAAGGCATGAAATGAWCACTAGATGGAAGCACAAGACAAGAACAGAAAATACACAAACACCAAATCCTCACAGCAGTTAGTCCCCATTGGCAATTGGTCTCCATTGGCTATTGGTCCCTTGGCAATTGATCCCTCTGGCATCTGGTCCCATTGGCAATTGATCCCTCTTGCGATTGGTCCCTTGGCGATTGGTCACTCTGGCGACTGGTCCCATTGGCGATTGGTCCTATAGGTGATTGGTCCCATTGGCAGTTGCTCCCTCCAGCAAATGGTTCCTCTGGCGACTGGTCCCATTGGCGATTTGTCCTGTTGGTGATTGGTCATTTGGCGTTTGGTCCATCTGGCGACTTGTTCCTTGGCAGTTTGCTCACATTGGCGACTGGTCCCTATTGGCAACTGGTCCATTGGCTATTAGTCCCTCTGGTGACTGGTCCCTTGACAATTGATCCCCATTGGTGACTGATCCATTGGCATTTAGTCCCATAGGTGATTTGTCCCATTGGCAATTGGTCCCATTAGCGTCTGGTTTCCTATTAATTGGTCCCTCGGGCAACTTATCCCTTGGTAATTGGTCCCCATTGGTGATTGGTCCCTCTGGTGACTGGTCCCTTGACAATTGATCCCCATTGGTGACTGATCCATTGGCATTTAGTCCCATAGGTGATTTGTCCCATTGGCAATTGGTCCCATTAGCGTCTGGTTTCCTATTAATTGGTCCCTCTGGCAACATGTCCCTTGGCAATTGGTCCCCTTTGGCCACTGGTCCCATGGCAGTTAGTCCCATTGGTGATTGGTCCCCATTGGCGATTGGTCCCTCTGGCGACTTGTCCCTTGGCATTTAGTCCCCATTGGTGCTTGGTCCCCCTGTTGACTCGTCCCCTGGCAAATGGTCCCCATTGGCTATGGGTCCCTTGGCAATTAGTCCCCATTGGCAACTGGTACCTTGGCAATTAGTCCCTTGGCAATTGATCCCTCTGGCAACTGGTCCCTTGGCGATTGGTCCCTTGGCAACTGGTCCCTCTGGCGACAGGTCCCTTGGAAACTGATCCCTCTCACAATTGGTCCCATTGGCAATAGGTCGTTCTGGCAATTGGTCCCATAGCGACTGGCCCCTTTGGTGATTGGCCCCTATGGCGATTGGTCCCTATGGTGCTTGGCCTCTCGGCGATTGGTCCCTATGGTGATTGGTCCCTATGGTGATTGGCCCCTCTGGCGATTGGTCCCTATGGTGATTGGCGTCTCGGCGATTGGTCTATCTGGTGACTGGTCCCTTTGGTGATGTGATTAGTTCCTGGATGCCACTTTTATATTTATTAGATGTTCTGAGCTTTAAATAAAAAGTCAGCTTTCAGAGCCAGTTCAACCGCAGGTCTAAGTCAAACCTTAACAACATTGTGTCAGGAAAAACATTTCCTTCCTCTTCATAATCATTTTCCAAAAATGTTTAAAAAATAAAATTAATTCCTGAGAATCGAAGGCAGATCAAAGTAATAACTTGTATTTTATGTGTAGTTTGATTTCCTGTTTTTCCTGTAAGACATGATCTCACTTMCTGTCATCACAAGACCACCTGAACACATCACACACTCACACCTGAACGCACCGCACACACCTGAATGCACCGCACACCTGTGCAATTTTAATGTAAAATGATCTTTTAATTTTATCTGACCCCTCTTCTCTAAAGATAATTAACCTTCTGATTGACCCCTCACCTGTCTTTTTATTTATTTTTTTGTTTGTTTGTTTTCTCCCCTTTTTTAAATTTGTTGCCATGGAAACGCCTCGGACCCTCCACCTGTCCTGCCCTCCCACCTTTACCTGTCCTGTCCCTCCGCTGCCTTCTCTGCTGTCTTTAAAGAGAGTTACGCCCCACTGCCTCTTTATTCTCTTCGGTATGTTGTCTCTAGCTTCTTATTTTTGAATTATCAGTACCACCTGGATGTTCTGATTTTTACCTGTTTATTAAAAAAAACAATGAGTGTCTGCTTGATTTTGTCAGATCTTGTGTGTTGATTTGAGTTTATCCATAATCTGTGCAGCTTTTCCTCTGAGTTTCTGAAGCTTCTCTTTATCTTCAGATTAATTATTAGAATTTATTTCAAACAACTTCACTTTAGCTTTTTAAAATCCAGAAAATTGAATCTGCTTTGGTAATAAAGTAAAAAAAAAACAGTTTAGCTACAAGTTAGCTTCCAGCTAATGAGATTAAATCATCGTTCAGTCGGACCTCTTCAGGTTCTGAGTTGGACTCCATCAGGACTGATTCTGTTGAATCACTAAGAACCAGATCTCAGGTCTAGGAGGTCCAACTGAGTCTTCTCTGCAGGGTACCTGGACTAAGATAGTGTGAGAGTTCAGTTCTTCAGGAGAGGCTCAGCGTAGAGCTGCTCCAGATTCAGAGGAGCCAGCTGAGGAGGTTCATCAGGAAGCCTCCCTAAGGAGGAGACCCAGGATGGTCCCTGCATTGAGTTGAGGGTTATGAATTAGCACAAATAATGCAGAAATACATTTTTTAAAAACTAAGGTCATTTCAAGATTTATCTGCAGCAGGTAAGATATTGTTTGTGGGAGCTTCTGTAAACTCAGAGGAGCTGCATTTATTGGGAGTTTTTATTTATTTACTTCAGTTTTTAGGTCTGCATGCCGGGTTTCTTTCAATTCTGCATGTCCTCGGCGCTGAATCAGCAGCTCTTGGTTTTTTGTTAAAACCCATAATTCATAGCGCCTACACGGTGTAATCTGCCATTTATTTAAATTTTCTCTGACCCTTACCCTTATTTTCCTAACTTGTACTTCCTGTTTTTAACCATTCAGGAACTCTTGCCTCCCGTAAATTAAATTTACTGAGGAGTTTTTTACGGCAGCCCTCGTCCTCCAGCTGGTTGTTCTAGATTTCCTTGTTTTTATGTTAGTAAAACGAAGGGTCAGTAGTGTGGCAGGTGTCATTTTGGTTGTAGATTTGTTTTGTTGTTTCTGTTTGAGCTGACGTGAAACAAACGTGTCACCTGCTCCTGTCCTACTCTGTGTTCAGGTGTTTATGGAGACGTGATGAGGGTGAAGATCCTCTTCAACAAGAAGGAAAACGCTCTGGTTCAGATGAGCGACAGCACTCAGGCCCAGCTAGGTAACGGCTCCGTGTGGTCCGGAGGGGTCGCTGTCAAAATAAAAGTCCTCAAACGTGGAGCTTTGTTGTGAAAAATGACCTCAGGGTTTGATTCTGAGCTGAAATGTTCAACCACCAGCGTAGCTTTGTTTTGAAAGTTCGGGCGCCTCTGAAAAGCTAAATAAATCCTGTCTTCTTCTCAGCCATGAGTCACCTGAACGGCCAGCGGCTGCACGGGAAGCCCCTCCGGATCACGCTGTCCAAACACACGAGCGTGCAGCTTCCCCGCGAAGGCCACGAGGACCAGGGTCTGACCAAAGACTACAGCAGCTCCCCCTTACACCGCTTCAAGAAGCCCGGCTCTAAAAACTACTCCAACATCTTCCCGCCTTCTGCCACCCTGCACCTGTCCAACATCCCGTAAGTCCAGACTCCGCTCTGGACTCTGGGGAGGCCGGGGGACCAGAACCGGATTCGTCAAAGTCCTTACGTCTGGTTTGTTTGTGGTTTCAGTCCCTCTGTGGTGGAAGACGATCTGACGAGGCTGTTCTCCAGCTCTGGAGCCGTCGTCAAAGCCTTCAAGTTCTTCCAGTAAGTCAATTAATTAATTAATTAATTGATTAAATAAATAAATAAAGTTTTAACCTTTTAATCCTGGATCTCTTGGTTTACAGAAAAACTAATTAAACCTAATTTCCCTCTGGGATCAATAAAGTAATTTTGAATTTGAATTTAAAACAAATGTTAAATGTTTTCTCATCAGATCAAGTCTTTGTCCTGTTTTTTTATTTTAAAACCTCCCACATGTGGTGAACTTACAGTTTGGTAAAGTTGTATCTAAAGTCCTTCTACCAAAATATTGAGCTGCAATAAGAGATTTCACTCTTTGAGACGTTTTTTTTCTCAACYGTCTCTTAAACTCAGTCGTGTTTTTATTAAGATCAAAGAAAAGTTCTCAGGATCAGGGTCAGACTTATGGAGATGAAATTTGTTGCTAATTCTAATCCCAAATTAAGCTAACCACTAATTCTAATTTTAGAAATATAATTAACCTATTTTAAAACATACACAGCTAAAACATTTATACATTTATACATTTACACCGTCTTATCCATGCTAGTCGCTAGCCTCTCCAATGCTAACACCAGCTTATCCATGCTAGTCGCTAGCCTCTCCAGTGCTAACACTAGCTTATCCATGCTAGTCGCTAGCCTCTCCAGTGCTAACACTAGCTTATCCATGCTAGTTGCTAGCCTCTCCAGTGCTAACACTAGCTTAACCATGCTAGTTGCTAGCCTCTCCAGTGCTAACACTAGCTTATCAGTGCTAGTCCCTAGCCTCTCCAATGCTAACACCAGCTTATCCATGCTAGTTGCTAGCCTCTCCAATGCTAACACTAGCTTATCCATGCTAGTCGCTAGCCTCTCCAATGCTAACACTAGCTTATCCATGCTAGTCCCTAGCCTCTCCAATGCTGATACTAGCTTATCCACGCTAGTCA